CGTTTAGTTTCTTTAGTTTGTATTGTATAATTTTTTCAAACAGATTATCATCAGTTACAAACTTCAACTTTGCTTTCTTTATGATTATTTTTAATCATTTTTATATATTGAAATATAATTTGCTTTAATCTATTATGTTTGCTTTAGTACTTCATATCATATATATTCAGTTCATAATAAAATTGCTTATCSTTAAATCAATGATTTTGTCTCTATGACAGCAATATGATGTACATGAATATGTATCAAGCTTCATTATTCGAGACCTTTAAGTCTTAAGGCCATATATGGCATTATTGTGCCATATTTGGGCAGCTCCATTGGCCCCGTTCAGTATCAATTATTTTGTGATCGCTTTATCTACCATAAGGCAGTGGTTAAATCCTTTTCTATCCAACTGACCAATCGCTGCTTTATTAAGCTCACAGTTCTTTGTTTTAAGACTGCACGAGTTACAGAAATTGAAAGACAAACATTTCGCATGTCTTGAACATATCATACCGCAGACCATAGAATTTGGGGYACTGATTTTTGAAATCACGTGACCTGCCAAGCCATTATTGTTGGAACATGTGAAGTACGCGTTGATTTCCTTAGGCTCGATCGCAGGCACATCTGGTTAAATGAATTATATTATTGTTATTTATCATGTGAAATACCCATATTTCTCCATTTCATAAAGTTTTCAATAATTTTTAAAGAACACATTCAAGGTTTATCTATATAGTGGAAGTAAGAAAAAAGGTATTTTAATTACGACATAATTTGCTTTCAAATTTAATTATATGATAAACAGAATATTACATGGACGCTTGGAGATACGAATTTTATCTTCTCGGGTTGAAAGTCTYTCACTTGTTCGCTACGCCCACTCGTGAAAGATCTTTTCAACACTCGAAGATAAAATCCGTATCTCCGCGCGCCCATGTAATATCCTCTTTTTTAAAGATTTATCTTCAACATGAAAATAATACAGTTTAAAGTGAAGACACTTTCTTTATATTCAAAAAGATTCTCGTTTTAGGCATTTTTCATTCTTTAAGTTAAACTTAGATTCAGACGCTGGAGTGCACCAATTTACACCGCATTTTTCTCTTTTATACACCACACAACCAAAGATCCTGATGAATAACAATCAGCATGTAGATAGCTGTATTTAGTTATAACCTCACCTTTATGACAAAATGCTGTTGATAYTTTGTCAACTTTCCTTATAATTCCTCCACGAAGGAACTCTTGTGTTAAGCCGCCCTTGTAATAGAACTTGTATTGATATGCGACCCACGTGTAGCTGCGACTTCTGGTATAYGTTGTATAAGCACTTTAAAAGAAAAATTAATTGATGCCATCAAATAGCCAGTTGTATATAGCTCGCTTCCTTTCTTTCCAAGTGGGGTTTCGAAGCGGGGGTTATAAGAGAAGCTGGGCAAGAATAACGTTAACGATTACGCAAATTCCTTGACGTATCGCAGGAGTTCTGGACCGGTTTCATAGCTTGACTAGCGCTAATCCTAGGTTAACTCTTAAAGACCTATGGAGCCCATGATAAACSCTAATCACCCGTTTGAACAACACGGTTCTGAACGAAAGAAGTTACACTGAGATCATAAATTTGTTAAACTATAAAATATATACAGCGTTAAAAAGTTTGACCAGTGAGCAGTAGTCAGTAAGATATATAAAAGTAAGAGGCGGTCTGTTTGATTGGTTGGTAGTAACTGTTTACCTCAAATCGTTTGTGTGCAATGCGCATGTCATTAAATTGTTGCCGCTTACACTAGCGCAACAACGAGCACTCATATGCGCAGTCAAAAAGACTGCATATTACTTACGCTGTGGTTCCATGTGCAGCCGTACCGAAGTAGTAYACCTTGCTTTCATTGAACGCAGCAATATAAGTCCCAGGTATATGTTTACTTCTTTTGTATAGAAACGAATCATCATTGACAATCAAAGGAGGGGATTCCCCAGATGGGCGTGGCAGTACGATGGTCTGACCGCTGACCGTTGAAATAGTAACATTGCTGTCGTTTARGTTTGTTATGACGCCTGGTTTGTACGTGTTGTGATCTTTGTACCATACTTTAGAACCGTTTGCCATACACCCTGAATAAAAATTGATCTTAACTGAACTGTTTTCTTACTCTAGGATTAGGGCTTTAAGCACCGTGACTAGAGTGGTTTTCATAAACCCGTGAAACAAAGTGTAATAATTAGAGTGTAATAGATCGTAATATTCGCGTAGAGACAATAAAAAAGCCAAAGTGTAATAGCGATAAATACGCTAAAGTGTGTTTCACGGGTTAATGAAAACCACTCTGAGATACACCTAATTGAGGAAACTTTGTCAGGCCCAAAAAGGTCAAATCATGGAGGCTAAGACCGAAAGGGTACTTGGGAAGACAAACAATTTGGCTAATTTCATAACAAACAGCTCTCCAGTATAAAAGACTATCATGCTGCTAATCTTACTAGCTCTACTTGCTTAGTGTACACCGTATATGCAAATGTAATTCCAATTTAGTGGTACTCAAAATCCCTTTCGGTCTTAGCTTCTGTGATGTAACCTTTTCGAACACGACTACGTTTTTTCAATTAGGTGTAAACTATAGTCATATAGTGCTTAGCAAACATCTGTAATCATAGATGATCAAAGTGTACTTACTGAAGTATTCTTTTGAATGAGGACCTCCGTATTTCCCTAATAAGACATGATCTGTAAATACTTAACATATAACTTAGAGCACGAGATTGATTCAGGCCGATTACGTGATTGATTGATTGATTGTCATTGATGGATTGATTGATTGTTATTGATTAATTAATTGTTATTGATTGATTGATTGTGTATTGATGAATTGGTTGATTGATTGATTGAAATGACTGATTGATTGATTGATTGAAATGACTGATCGATTGATTGATTGCTTGATTGGTTGGTAGATTGAAATGATTGATTGATCGATTGATTGATTCATTGATTGATCGATTGACTGATTGATTGATTGATTGATTGATTGTTTGATTGATTGAAATGACTGATTAATCGATGGGTAGACTGATCGATTGAATCTTTGATTAAATGATTGTTAGGGAGAGGAATGAATTGATAATTGATTGATTGGCAGATTGTTTGACTGATGGATCGAATGGCTGATTGATGGGGAATGCCGAGTGTCGAGTGTTATTTATTACATACTTGTTAGTGAAGCTTCTTGATGTACTCGACCAATCATACCGCTTTGTGTTGCATTCAGCCACTTATTGAACACAAACTCGTAGTAAAACTGTTTAGAATCGATGACAACGATCTGAAACATTAAAGTGCATATTGATTTACTTTAAATCAAGTAAAACCACACATYTTCAC